CATGAACCTCCAAGGAAACCCCAAACCCGAAGTCCTAATCGCTAAACCCTACCTCCAGGCCCTAAACCCTAAACCATAAACCCTAAACCCTAAACCCCTAAACCCTAAACCCTAAACTTAACCCTAAACCCCTAAACCCTAAACCCTAAACCCTGAACCCTAAACCCTGAACCCTAAACCCTAAACCCTAAGCCCAACCCTAGAACTCTTCAGCCCGACCTGTGCCCCCAAGCCCTACAAAATAAGGGCATGACCCCTTAATGAATGGGTCGAAGCCTTAAAACGATAGGTTTTTGGATTCCCAAGAAAGCCCTAAGCCGAACCCTAAACTCCTAAGCCCTAAATCCTACCTGGACCCTGGAAAACCTACCTTTTTAGGGCTCCTGCTTATGATTTCCCTATACAAGTTCTTACAAAGGTAGGTTCTTTACGGTCTGCAGGTAAGTTCCTTTAGGGCTCCTTTAAAGGGATGAGGATTTAGGGTGTTAGGGTGTAGGTTTTAGGGGGTAGGGTTTAGGGTTTAGGGTCTAGGGTTTGGGGTGTAGGGTTTATAGGGTTTAGGGTTGGGGTTTAGGGTGTAGGGCTTATAGGGTTTAGGGGTCGGGGGTTTAGGGCCACAGACCCAACTCTCCAAAGCCCTCCACCAAAGCTCCTGGAAGTCGCAGTCGACGAAGACCGGCCGAGCCAAACCAGGCCTCTCAGAGGGCTCCTTTAAGTTAGGGTTCCCCTGAGACTCCAATAATTAAGGAATATACATTAAATCATATTAGGGATCCTACTATAATTTAGGGTATATTCCTTAATTAAGGGGTTTTGGAGTCTCTGGGTTCATCTCCTTTTAGGATTTGGGGCTTGTCAAAAGCAGTTTCAGAGGACTCCTTCAAGGCGTCCCTTCATAGGGCTTCTGGAGATAAGTAACCATAAACCCCTAAACCCTAATGTTAGACTTGTAGTCATTGAAACAGGGAGCTTTGAAGAGGGGATTGCTGTAAGGACGTCGTAGGGCTTTCAGGATTCCTCGTGGGCGGCCTTTAAGGTGGTTTGAGGCTTCCTAGGTGCCTTCAAAGCTTCCTGTAAGGGGGTTTAGGGCTTATTTGCGGTCACGGGTTTCGGTGTTCGGATTGAAAGGTTTGTTGGTGTAGGGCTTACAGCTTGGAAGGCTCCTTCTCGGGTTTAGGCCCTGCCTGCGCCCACACTGCGTCCCCCCTGTTCGTACATCCCGACCAACCCCTCTCCGTCGGGTCTCCGTGCGGCAACCAGTCCCGACACCATACGCGGTTAGGGTTTAGGGTTTAGGGTTTAGAATACGCAGATTCTACTCCCTGGTTCTTAGTCGGGAAGTGGGGAGTCAGTTATAGGGACGTCTAAGACGAAACCTTTAGTCTAGGACATTTTCAGGTGGGTAGTTACCGTTATAGGAGCCTTATGGAAGGTCTATACCATATACCTTATAGAAGCCCTATATACCCTAAACTTCCCACCTGTAGTTTCCTTTAATAGATTCCCCCTGAACCCCAAACCCCCAAACCCTAAACCCCTAAACCCCTAAATCCCTAGACCCTAAACCCTAGATCCAAACACCCCGAAGACGAAACCCTAAACCCTAAACTGCCTTGCTCTTAGTAGTAGGGACTGGTGACTGGGAGAATGAATCTCCATGATGGCCCCTTAGGGTTCCTTATAACCCTAAACCCTAAACCCTATAAGCCCTAAACCCTAAACCCTAAACCTAAGGGTTTAGGGTTTAGGGTTTAAGGTTCCTTATAGGGTTGAGGCTTTAGGGGCCGAGGCTGTTCGTTCCCAACAGGTGGCACGAACCGATGGAGCATCCGAACACTGTCAGCCCCGGGCCCGGTTTAGGGTTTAGGGTTTAGGGTTTAGGGGTTTAGGGGTTTAGGGGTTTAGGGTTTAGGGTTTAGGGTTTAGGGTTTAGGGTCCACGGAAGCAGCATACTGCAGGACTCGCTCTTGCACAAGGGCCCATGCCGCTGCACGTGCCCTGCGGCCCCCATTCTCGTAGCTGCACTGCCTGGCAACTGCGAGTTCATGCTGCTTCGTGTGCCAGCTGGACTTCACTGGGCATTCCCCTGTCACCCGTGCCCGCGAGGAGATCTGCTCGCGAAGTCGAAACTGCTGGACATACATTCGAATCCCACTCATCATGCCGAGAATGCAGTTCTGGCAGGCAGTGCCGGCATCCGGCTGCGACATGTCGAACTCTTCGGTGTCCGGCCAGCGGCCGTGGAGATCCTAGTATCACCTCCTCACCCAAAGGCTCCATGTACCTTTATAGTAGATACTTAAGCCCTAAAGTACCCATATAGGGACCCCTTTAAGGCTTAAGTAACAACTATAAAGGTACATGGAGCCTTTGGGTCATCCTTGTCCTCGATGTCCACACACATGTTGTCCTCGTCGGGAGGCAGCCATGCTCAACAGCTGATTTCCTTGGATGGCGAACTGCACCGTCGCCAGCTCCCGAGTCATGGCAATGTCCACGTCAGGCATGTGCTGCAGACATGACCAGGTTACCGCATCGATGGCGCGGAGTCTGTCCCCGTTGCTGCATTGCCCCGGCGCGAATCGATGCTGGTGATAGCGTGCAGTCTGCTAGTGCTGGAACCCAAGCTGTTCAGTGAGGCCTAGGGCCTAGGGTTGAGGATCACCTTAAGCCGTAAACTTAAAATTCCAAACCCTACCTGTAGCAGGCTCTCTGCGCCCACATTGTAAGCCCTAAACCCCAACGAGTTTCGATTCTGCGGCTTTCAAGAACGATCATAGGATCTCTATAAGGGTAGCATAAGGGTTCGGCGAGACTTTAGGGAATAGGGGACCTACTGCTGATGGTATAAATGCTGCAGTACCTTAAGGACCCCAAATTATGGCATTTTCCTTATTATGGGTGATGCAGGATTGATATCATCAACCGTAGGGATTGGAGGCCGTAGTAAGTGAGATTTCTACCTCAATTGGGGTTCATTTGGGTTAACTAGGTCCCATGATCCTTTAAGCCCCAAGCGCCTCAAGATCCCCTACAGAAACTTCTCGGGAGCCCTTTGAGCTGTCATTTCGCGGTTTAGGGTTTAGGCTTTAGAGGAAATAAACCATCCAAAGCCATCCTAAACCCAGCACACGGCATCCCAAACGGTAAGAAGAGGCTTTGGGGTTATAGGGCGGTCTTGGGCCCTAGACCCTAAACCTCTAAAAAGCCTAAATGCTAAACTTAATAAGTAGCCCAGGCCAATCCAAGTCTTTCTCCCAAAACTCCTTGAGGCTAGGGGCTTAGGCTTTTCTAGGGCTGAGGGGGTTTAGGTTAGGAGTTTAGGATCGACCCCGCTTCTAACCGCCATACCCAGAGACCATCAGTGTTAAGGCCTGAACAGGGTTTAGCGTTTAGGGTTCCAGGTGTGTTCCCCTAAGGGTCCATGTACCCAAATAGTAAATACTTTGGCCCTAAAGTACCTATATAGGGACTACTTTAAGGCCAAAGTATATCTATTTGGGTACATGGCCCCTTAGGGTTCCTTAAAAAACACGTTGTGCGGTTTCTGGGCAGAGCGACCTCAGGTTGCGCTTGACCGGAATGGTGGTCCAGTTGATGTCCTGTGCGCAGGAGCCGGGCTTCAAACCTGAAGCCCTCAACCCTGAACCCCTAAGACCTCATCGTAGATCCCATGCAGAACCTTTACGGATTCCCTTAAAGGAACCCTAAACCCTAAGCCCTGAAGATGCGGCATGTAGGGCTGAGAAGGGTTTAGGGTTTGGGGTTCCTGGCGAGGGAACCCATACCCTAAGGGTCCATGTGCCCAAAGAGTATATACTTTGGCCCCAAAATACCAAAGTTTATACTATTTTGGTACATGGACCCTTAGGGGTACAGAAAAGACTGTCCTGGGGCGTTGTGTGAACAGCTGTTTTTTATAGTGAAGGAGTTCCATGACCTATGTTCTCAATCCAGAAGTGCTCTGTAAGGGATCTATAATGGGGGTTTAAGCTTGAGGGCGGGCTTGTAGAGTACAGGGTATCGGGGCTATGATATTGAGATGTTTCAGGGTGTAGAGATATCGTCTGGCATTTGCGTTGACCTTAAACTTCGGCTTAAAGAGTTTCAAGATCGGAAACTCAAAAGCAGTTTAAGTGCCTTAAATGCTGATATGCCGGCTCAGCCCCGATCCCCGCTAAACCTGCAAAGCGCCGCTGTGAGAGTGTAGTTTCAGGATTTAAGGTTCGGCTCATGGTTTTGGATCCTCCCCTCCTTTCCCTACCCCCCTACCCAAAGCCTGCATCGACCCTCAAGTATGGTTAGCTTCGGTTTTGCAACCTGTAGTTCATGTAGCATGGTACGTAGAAAGGACTCTCCCCCTCATGAAAGCAGAATAGGATGAACAATTTTAGGCATTCAGACACCCCTAAAAAAGCAACCACAATCCAAAGCAGCAACATGAACATGCACCAACGAGCCCTGCAGACAAAGGCAAGACTGCATGCACTGTTGGTACTGCGTGTTGTGGTTCAGGTTTACAGTTTGGTTCAAGCTTTAGGGTGTTTGCAGGGGCCGTAATAATTAGAAGAGGGTTTTGGGGCCCATTGTACTATAATTATAATACTGGGCCCCACACTAGTATAGGTAATTATTGAGGCCTCTGAACCCTAAACCCTTGTAGTAGCCCTTATAATAGAAGCCTTTGAGGAACCCTCCAAAGGAACCCCCCCAAAACCCTATAAGGAGTCCCACACTAGTATAGGTAATTAGTAAGGCCTCTAAACCCTAAACCCTAAAACCCTAACATTAGTATAGGTAATTGTTAAGGCCTCCCTATTACTTGGAGCCCCACGCCCTACAACAAAGGGCCCGGACCAAGAACTAAAGGGTCGAACGCTCAAAAACCGTAGGTTTTTCGAATCCACAGTTAGGCCAGGTGCACGGTTTAGGGTTTAGGGTTTCTGGGTTTAGGGGTTAGGGCTTT